ATCTAAACACTGTATAATACGAAAAAGATGCTTTCAAGACCTGAAATGGAATTAGTAAATGGAATTATTAAAGATCTGAAATAAATTGTTGGTTCTGAAAACAAGTCATTAAATGTTCTGCTAAAATGGTGAACTAACCTGTACGAAACTGTCCAAATTCAAAGGTATCAATCCTCCACCTGTTATCATGGGCGGGTTCAAACATTTTCGCAACACCATTACATATAATGGTTGTACTTTCAACGGACCATTGTACCATTGGGATTCGTATCTACATGTTAAACAATATTGTAAATTCAAATTGGTTATATTGAAAATCTAGTGTATATATAATTCAAAACATCAATGTATGCCGATCTTACATTCTTTGAAAGATTTCTTCGTTGGAATTGATCAGGAACTGCCCCATTATCGTCAAAAAGAACAGATGAACCAATTGGACAACAGTGAACATACATAACGTGAAGAACCGGGTCCCCATTTCTGTCTCTGACAACTAATCGCATAATACCATTTATTAAATCACAATGAGATAAATCTGTGATTACGGTGGATTTATATTCTAATGAATCTTTTGTCGACTAATAAATGTTTTTTTACTAATTGAATACACATGTCATGTGTGAAAGTACTACATTTGTTATGAAGTTAGAACAATTAAATATTTTATACCACAAAGAATTTGTGAAAGATTAATTCTATTGGTGACCATATGTCATAGAATTATTGTAATTGAAAAATTTGATTGTTCATATTAAATACAGGATATTAAGAACCAAAAATCTTCCGAAACTTTTGAATGACAGAGTAAACTTAGAATAGTAAGTATTTACATCCACTGTAACCACAGTCTGAGTCGTGTCTGATAGAGACTAAATTGTATTCTTTAATTACAGTGACCAAATAACGCAGTTAAATTTCTGACAACAAAATGAAACTTACCCTCACGAAAGTACACGTGAATGCCACTATTACAAAGCCCAGGGTGATAAGAAAGTAATATATATGGCAGGCACTGATTTTTTCCACGTATCTAATTTGAAACAAATACACAAGACATTTAGCAACTGACTGCACGATACTTTTGTTGCTATGCTCACTGTGCTGTATAAAACTGTTGTACTAACTCAACAGCTCTTTTGTGAGCTTCGATGGATTCACGCACTTTCACGTAAGTTTCACGTATTAACGCGTCGTTGTACTTTTCGTCACA